ATTCGAGCAAGAAACGTGCGATTGCAGATTGGCGTTGGTGCACACTTGTAGGAGCAGATTATCGCCGAAATGCACCGTCTTGTGTCTCCGGCGTTTGGACATCAGCGACTTCTCCGGCGAGGTTTCCCCGTTACACACTCGGCCGCATTTCCTCGAGCACGAGTTCGACTCCACCATCGTTTCTACTCGGATAAAATTTGCGCAAACATAACTTGGTGTTTCCAACAATAAAGGCACTGTTTTGACACTAACTAGCCGACATAAGGCAAAAATTCGAACAGTTTTGCTTTATCACAGCAGGTTGACGATCTGGAGGAGCTACAACTATTTACAACAGCGAACTTTCGTCGCGGGAAAAATAAGAGGCTACAAACAAAAACTGGAATGCAACCTCTATGAAACGACTATCTAGTTAACATCCCCGGAACTACATCTCTGCGCGAGTCATGACGTCAAACTGACGACCGGAGCCAGAAAGGCCGATCGCGATGCTACCATTCCGGTGGCCATACCGAGAACTAAACCGGATCGATGAGAGTCAAGAACGGTATGTCACCAGAGCGGCCAAATGCAAAAGGGAGTCATTAAAGATATTGGATTACGGCGGTGCTGATGGATAGACAAGTAAAAGACGATAAATATTTACAAGGAGGGTATTTATTGCAAGTCGATAAAATCAACGACTAACAGAAAAACGATGGTTTAATATGAACGTTAAAAAATTAATCAACAGTTTCCGAAAATGGAAAAAATGGTGGATGCGCCGGGATAATTAGTTTAAAAAAAATATTAAAACACCCATTTGAAGTCTGTAATGCCATTGAAGGCACTCATATTTGAAAAATTAAATGCTTGAGGTTCGAATCTAGAAAAAGTGTTTAAACTAAGTTGTCCCTCCTTGTCAAACCCTCTTTTCCTTTAGTGTAATCAACAAGTTAAATCAGGCTTTAGCTCCGTCCTATTTTGCGTTTCTTCATCCCATATCCGGCATTTTTCCGCCCCACTTTCCCTCCAATGTTTAATTTCTTAAGTGGTTAATTACGAGAGCACACTTGCATAATTTTAATTAATTCCAAGCATGTACTTAGGATCGCATTCGACTCTTTAATGGAAGACGAGTGCATCTGTGTGCATTATAGAGCAGCTCGTGGAGTGTTAAACGTTAGATTTCCCGACCATTTGCGTTATTAAAATGGCGTCTTGTTCTCTGGGAAAATTTATTAAAATTTGTGCAAGGATGGAAGGATATTGTTGGTAATACACAATGCGGCCAGGCAATTTGCAAAATTAATGTAAACGTGGCACTATTGGGCTAATAAACGCGTCGTCTGCTTGTGGTGTTAATTCAATAATAAATCGTCGACGAGGGGACTGGGTGACAAGAATGGAAATGAGGAGGAACGGAGAGTGGGATAGGAAAATTTAAGGTTTGATGGGTGATTGCAGAGAGAGATTTGAAATATTAAAAAGTATACTCTGGTACCTGGAAGAGATGTAAAAATTTCGCGTGAATTAGTATCAATTTGCACCATTTGAACATTAAACGAGAGTTTAATTTTAAATGTCAGGCTAGACAGCGACAAATCGGTCTTCATTAAATTTAAGTTGTAATTAAAATCTTGATTATAACTTCTGTAAACTGGGGAAAAAGTCTCGAGAAATTTTTATCGTTGGCTATCAAAGTCAGCATTGATTCTAGCAAAAATCTTGGCTCGGTTTCAAATTTCAAAATTGTAAAATTAAAAATACTTACTATATAACATGAAAAATGCACCACCTAATCATGTTGTGCGATGGAATTTGAATTAAAAAAATATTATGAGTTTAAACTTTGAACTGAGAACAAAATTCTGTATTTCTTCCATTTTTTTCAAACAATAAAATTTGAAACAAAAAGTAAAAAAAAATAAAAGTCCCATTTTGTCCTTCGTCTTTATTGACTTTTTTGACAGAACTAAGAGAATAAAATTAAAAATATTTCTGCTGGTAATTACTTAAAAAGAACTTTACAACAATCTGAAGAACTTGCTTCTGTCAACTATTTCACTCAATTAGTACAAAATTTAAAAAATTGACCGATAATCAGGCTAATAATTTTTAAAATATCCAAAAGCTGAAATGTCAATTGTTATTTTTATTCTATTCTATACTCTAAAAAATTGTCTACCCAATTGATAAAATCAATTTTTCTTTAGTTTTTTTAATTTACAATCATTAATACTAAGATTAATATTACCTAAGTACTTTCTCTAGATTTTATTAATTTTACCAACAGAATCGCAAAAAAAACGTTAGGTATCGTAAATTGCATTTCTGAATACGCTTAAAAAATTTCTCTTACAAGTTATTAAGTTTTTTTTTTCAAAAAAATAAGAAAAACTTAATTTTAATTTATATATTTATAGAACCATAACGTTTAAACTTTAGAGTCATTTTTTTACCTGCCACTAAACAAAGATTTTGATTTTTATATTCTCCCAATCAAACAATGATGCTTTTAATTTTTCCCATTTTATACACGCTGCGCCAGAACTCGCCCCTAAGCTAAGATACTAGGAACATGGAAAAACTGTTAAAAAAACTCTATTTATAAAAATGTCGAAGTTATGAGAGTTTAAATTTTGCACTTTTACTATTTATTTATTTTTTTTTTTTAAATAATTCTTCAAGTTTTTTTTTTTGTTAGAGGCTAGAAGAAGAAACAAGGAATCTGTATACTAAATTCTAACTCTGTTTAATGTTATTTGTAGCTTTTATTGGCAAAATTTTTGTACCTTTACTGAATAATTATAAAAAAAATTTAACCACTGTTCTTATGAGTTTGTTAAAGTTTTCGAAATTTTATAATTGTATATGAAGATTGTGGAGGATTTTTTTCAAATAAAATCTGTTGTTATAGAATCAATCTCTTGTGTAGTATGTACACCAAAAAGTTGGAATTATTATTTTCATTCAAAAAAGGAGAGCAAAATGGTGTTTGTTTTCGTGATAAATGCGAATTTAAAAAGGCTATAAGACCCCTCGTTTGCAAATTATACGCACATCATCTTGAAAAAAGCAAAATATGAAAAATCTCCCAAGATGGGTATTTAATGAGAAAAGCGGGAGAATTCCAGAGATATGACGTGCACCTCCACGTTGATATTCCTTCTCCCTCTCGACATAATTCATCCCGTCAAACGCATTGCGAATTACATTCATCTACCCCCATTTAAAAACACCAAACTCTTGAGAAAACTCGTTACAAAATCCCTCGCCCCCCACATGTTGCTCCCATGTGCCCCAACTACTCCCAGCTAAATACATACCAATTTCATAACATAATCAATACGCTTGCGCACCATGCTCGACAGCCCCACATTTCGCCACGTCGCAAATGGCGTAAAACGGCCCTAAATCGGCCGGAAGTGGACCTCGTCCTCTAAAAAACACGTGAATATTTCGCACATATTTCCGCACGGCTTAGCGTCTACTGCAAGATGACATTCGTGGGCCGGACAATGCGCAAACTCCGGGACTACCCGGAAACAGTCCTGGCCGGAGCGAGGAAATTTCAGTTTCTTCGCGTACGAGAATCAATTTTAGGTGTGCATTGGGGGCTTACGTGAGTCAAGGACGACGTGGACACCACTTGCAAGGTTTCCGAATTTTCAAAGAGGGAACGGAATCTAGGGCAGCCTTGGAATTTATGAAACTAGGTCATGGTTTAGGATTTTTAGGGATTCAGGGGATTGTATTGATTATGACACGAGGGCACTAAATTTGGGGCAAATTTGTTTCAATAGTACGAAAACGTGCGATTTTATGACGAGTTTTAGGACAAGTGTCATAAATTCGAGATCGATAATGTTTGCATATCTCTTTTATTCACAACTCATTTAGTGACCTGACACAACATATTTACTATTAAAGGTGGGTCATACTATATGAATGAAATCAAGCTCCGCCCATGCGAACAATAGTAAAGAATTTTTATTGATTTGTTTCGAATATTTAAGATAACTTTACTACAGTGGGCGAGAATTAAGTTTTTTTTAATATATTAGGATATTAGCCCCGCCCACACTAAAACCGTCAGTAGAGAAAATTATGAATTAGATATTATTACATTATTTAAAACAAAAAATAAAAATTTAAAAAATAATAAAATAAAATTAAAATAAAGTGTTAAAGTGGGTGGAACCTAATGACGCACAAATTACCTAACTCTATTTCCTTCCGAAACGTTTTTAATTATACTCCACCCACATCAACACTGTAGGTGGAGACAATAGTGAAAACAGATTATGTTGTATAAACGGAAATTCTAATCTTTATGTAGGTGGAACAAATAACTCGTTACGCAAAGAAAGAAATTCCAGTATCGTTTGGTAGTTATTTTAATATTATAATTTTGAAACATAAGAATAATAGTGGGAGGAGTTTTTGTAGGCTCCACCCAATTTGTACAACAAATAAATTGGAATTAAGGTTATTGTATAGTTTTAATAAGAAACGGAGCTGAATATCTTTTCTTTAAAATTCGAGGATTTAGAAACCATCAAAAAGTTTTCGTGATTAATGAAATTGTAAAAAACCGTATTTTCTACATTTATTTGTAATTAGATTCTCCAATGAAGATAAAAAGAAATTAGGACGATTTCGTAAAACATCAATTTTGTCAAACAAGAACTGCCTTTTCTTTCTTTTATTTTCTTTCCAAGACTACATTTTTCAATGCATTTGATTTTCCTGAAATATGATTGCGTAAACATAAAATGTCGTTTTCACTCAATCACAGCTATGACGTAAGCCGTCTTTTCCCATTCTGTGTAAAATCCAACTCAATTTAAAATTCCCGTCTTGATGTATTTTTAATCAGAGACTTCGGCTCATTAGCGGTCTTATTACCCTTTCACTCAAAGACTCAAACTTCGTTTCTTTTGTTAATAATTTATTCAGCTTTTGAAGCCCGGACAAAGAAATTCATTTTTTCGTTAAAAAAAAAATCACAAACTTACCTCTGACGACGTGAGATAACACAATCTCGAGTCGGCGCTCTCGATGGAAGCCTGCTGAACGATTCCATATCTGGAAGACTCTCTATCACTCATGTAATCCGAGCGAAGACTGTCCTGGCGATCGAACATCCCCCTGAAAGGAATATTAAACATTGTGCAAATACCGCCTTCACCGGAAAAAAATTATTGCCCATCAGAGATCGTTGTGGGTCTTGGCGGACGATCTATTGAATTCCGGCCGCATTCCCGACTGGGATTAATCCCGCAACCTCGTCGCGGTCAGGGATTAAGAATAAAAACGTCACTCAAAGTCTCGTTAAGGAGAATTTATTTAAACGAATTCGGAGCAAAGCACAAGTCGGAAGTTAATCTACACATATTGCACCCTCGTTTATTTGCTTCCGCTGTCTCAAATTGCACCGGAAACAATATCGTAATTTCGCACCCTGAGGTTTAAAAAATTCAAGGTGTTTTCGAGAAATTTGTGATCGGGTTGTTTACGAAAATCGGACGATCGCAAACAATTCCAGAGTTATTGGCAGATACGGGGTTTATAATTCTCAATTGTGAAGACAGGGAAACGTTTTAGAGAAATAAAAATGTAAAGTTTTTGGGGCGAGAGGATTAAATGGATGTTTGGAGTTTTGTCAATTTGTTGTTTGTGATAAACTCAGGTTTGGATCCCTATATCATAGTTTCAAGTTACGTGAACTTTATTGCAAATGCTTTTACGGAGAATATTCACTACCACTGTTTTTGCCAGTTAAAAAATTAAATAAACAAAAAGTACCAACAATAAAAAATACATCAAAATAATTGAAACAATAAAAATAAGTAAAAAAAAAGGAACAACATCTGAAAACTCAACAAAACCTATTATAAGTTAGTAAGCAGAAAAAAAAACAATAAGTAACAAAAAAAGAACAAAAAAAATAGACCAAAAAGAAATAAAGTCTGTTTTTTCTTTAAATGGAAATTACTAAGTCAAAATTTTGATGAAAAAATTGGTAGCAGCTTATCTCCATAGCCACAAATTTTGTTTGCTCATTGTTTTTGCCCCTAGAAATTTTGTTAAAAATTTATGGTTATGTTTTCAAATTGAGATGTTGTCAAAATTTTGACTGAAAAATATACACAGAAAAAAGTTATTTAGCAAAAAATACAAGTAGATATTATGATGATTGGCAATAAATTTTGTGTAATTTATTGAAATGAGCTCAAAGTTGATGCATATTATAAATTCTTCTTCAGCTTTTGTTTCAAAATTGTTATTTTTTCAACTCGTTTCTCAAAAAAACGATGCACAAGACACTAATTTAATTACGTTCTTTCCGAGGTTCTTTCTCATTCATGTTTATTTTGTATTCCTGTCAATTTCTTGCTAAAAATGGAGAATGTTTAGCAAAACTGCATTATAAATGGCAACTACATTTTAACAGACCCTTTTTCTAACTTGCTGATCCGAACTATTCGTTTCCAAATTTCTAAAAACTGTTTGGGGTACCGAATTTGTTCTTTTTTTTGATGTTTAGTCTCTAAATTTTCTTAAACGACTTATTGTGCTACCGTTTAATGACATTGCTTACAAATTAATTCAAAAAACCGGAACTGCCAACTTCCTTTATTAAAATTACCATGAATAAATTTACTAGTGGTGCCAACGTTAAGCCAGTTTGAAAAAAAAACAGACTTTACTTAATTTAAAAAAAAACAAGACAATAAACACAAAATAAAGTAAAAAATGCAAGATTAAACTTAAAAGCAAAATTAATATATTAAAAAGTGCAACTAAAAAAATAAAATATTCAAATTAAAAGAAAGTACAATTTAGTGCAAAAAAAACGCAAATTGTCAATTTTTTTTTAGAGATTTACATAGTGTGAAAAAGGTTCTTCCCAAAAAGGTTAAAAAACTATCAAAAGAAATATCGTATTTGATGGTCTTGCCTGTGCAGTTTCATAGTCAATGTTAAAAACGAAATGGAAAAACTTGATAGAAGTTTGGAAGATGCCTGACAATTATGAACTTGTGAATTGTGACAAAGACAACGTCAAAAAATTATATTTATTAACAGGCAAAATTACATTATAAAAAAATCAATTTGCGTTTTTTTTTGTACTCAAGTGTAGGTACTTTTCACTTTTTTTTTAATTTTTATTAACAAACACAAAACAAATTTCTTTTATAAATTTATTTTCATCAACTCGATATTTGCCAAAAATATCTAACTTTATTTAGGTAAATTTTTTGCCGCTTTGATAAATTTAATTGTCAAAAAACCACTGTGTCACCCAATCCCTTCCTTCCCATCCATTACCCCACACCCATATTTACTCACCGTTGCTCAAAGCTGTCGGCCCGATTGCTCTTATACCCGCTATCATTCAAACTGCTATCCTGCCTCAACGAAGGTAACGAATCCCACGGCGACCTCTTGTGCCCTTGCGGCAGCGTCTGCCCCGACCCGAAATTCGAACTCCCCGACCTCCAGCCATCAGAATGTCGGAACCACTGCGCCCGACTCGACTCCCCTATACACGAGGCACACCTCGAACTGAAACTAAAACCGCAATCATTGCTATACAAAGACAAAAGGGTCTCACCTGGAGTTGTGGTCACTCAAATATCCCCTTTCTCGCTCCTTTTCCCTTTCACGCAGCAGTTCGTTGCGGTCGCTGTAGTAGCCGTCGCGTTCGCGGTCGCGACTGCCGGTACCAAGCCGATGGGACAATGGTAGAGTTGATGATTTGTTAATGGAAGCGCTGGATGAAGGTCCTGAAAAGAAAAATTAAAATAAATGAGGTTAAAACGGGAGAAATGTTACGTTTTCGGGAAGGGTAAGGGCTGCGTTGGGTCGATCCGGGAAGGCTTTCGGCGAATTCTGCAACACAAAAGGCAATTTCTCCCTCACAACTCCTCAAATATCGCACAAATCACCTAAATTTTCCATACTTTGGGTCAGAAGAGCTTCAAAAGTGTGCAAACTGTAGCTCTCCGCGTCCATTCCTTTGGCTAGAGTGTTCCGGAGGTGCATTTCGTATTCTAGGAGAAGGCGACTTGTGGGGGACCCAGGAGTCGGCGTGTTATTAGCGTTCTAGGCAAAAAATACAATTCTGATTGATATAATTTAAAAAAGAACTATTTTCACCACCTGGTGGTGCATATGTCTCTGGCGTCCATAATGATGTCCTCCTTGTTCCGGATCCGAATTTCCGTTACTTGAGCTTGGAGTCGTGGCATAGCATTGGTTGTCGAAGAGGACGTTGTCGGAAGGTGGAGATAAGTCACCCCCAGCACCTCTTTCAAGTTCAAGGTACAAGCCACGACCGGGGTATCCCCGACCGATCTCATGAGATGATCTGTAATTGAAGCTGATTAATTATTAGTAAGGCTCGGATTATATGCAAAATGCATATTTGTTGTTAAAAGGTATATTAACAAAATTGTAAGTTTTCTATGCATATCTAATGCTTTTTGATTAAAATAAGCCAATTAAAAAATGCATATTTTGCATATTTTGGCAACTTGGTGCATATTTTAGGAAATATTGCATATTTGTGCATATTTTCTTCAAATCACTAATTTCCGATTAAAAATTTCAATTCAAGTTAAAAATTGGACAGTTTAAGAAAAATAATCAGATTACAAAATATTTTAAAGAGAAAACAACCGGTAATTTGTAAGCCAAACTCAAAAAATTAGTACCCTACTGAGTGTTTTCTTTTTAAATTCGTTTTATACTGGGTGAATATAAAGTATTGAACCAAGCGGTTTTTTTAAATCATTTTTTTCCAAAAAATAATAATTAATATAAATTAAAGTAATATAAAAAAAAATTTGTTTTGTTTTTGAGTTATTCGATTTTTGTTGTCTAAATTGCGATATACATATGTAAAAAAAATAATTTAATATAAAGTAGATAGTTGTAATTCCTTAGATCATGACCTTCATGAGAAAAATGTTTTTTTTTTGGTGGGTTGCCATTTAAAAAAATAAATATTTTTGTAGAACTCAAAAGCGAAATAATAAAAATTTTGAAAATTTTTATTTTTGATAAAACATCACTTTTCTATAGAACTTTATAATTCATCAATTAGTTTTTTCAAAAAATAAATATTTTAAGCAAAAAAGTGATGTGATCTGAAAGGTACAGATTTCTTAGAAAGAGTTAATTACTAGGTTATTAAAATGGCTTGTCTCACGTCAAAACAATTTATTTATTTTTTCATTTATCGTGTGCAGTTCAAGATGACGAAAATACAAAGTTTAGTGTATTCGAGGATAAAAATTTATCCCAACTTTGATTTTTTATTGTTAAAAATTTTGCATATCGATGCATATTTGACATATATCGAAGCATATTTCTTAATATTTTGTGCATATTTTTCTAAAAATACGAGCATATACGGTATGATGAAAAAAAGGCGCCGGTGTTAACCCACACGTTATAAGTGATCTTTTATTAAAGACGAATTCGAAGACCAAAATTGGATTTGTGCTCTTATCAGTAAGATATAGACTTTCCTTTTTAGAAAAGAGAAATCTATATAATTAACAGTTTTAAAATAATTTTATTGTTAAAGTCTAGATTTTGATACGGTTGATGGTGTTCTTAAACAAATGTGTAAAAAGTCTATTGAAATAAACTTTATTGAAGATATTTGGATACCATTTCTTGGCTCCAAAGAAAATTTATCAATGTTGCAACATTGCAAAGATCCTAGGATACAGAAAATGTCCAAGTAATATTCAATTATTGGAAACGGTAGCAACAAAAAAATCAATATTCAATGTTTGTTCTGTGAAATTTGAACGATTAAAGTCAAAAAGGTTTCCTAGATACGAAAAATACCTGAGTGAAATAGTTTTTTAGTAAAAGAAAATTGTGTAATATTGCCGCTTTGTGCTGTTAGACAAACTGTTTAAATTTTAAAGAGAATCTATTTAGACTATTTTTGGAATGATGGTCACAATGTTTCAATAAAAAAGGACGCGCCTGTTTCAATCGTGGGCGCCTTTTTTTCATCACCCTGTATATGCGCATATGTTACGAATTTTTCGTGCATATAATCCGAGCCTTAATTAATATTGGCGTGGTGAAAAGCGTTTTTTCTATGTTAGATTTGTTCGTAGTTTTGACTCACCTAGACCCCGAAAACCTGGAATTTTGTGCCATGGCCGACCTGGGATGCGGATGCCCAGACTCCGGTTCCGAATGCCTCCCATTATTATTGGTATGCCTGTGATGGTGATTATTATAATAATTATACCTCCTTCTGCCCATTTCCGGCGACGTGACTGGACTCTCCGCACTCGGCATTGGCTTGAGCATCCTCTTCAAGGTATTACTATCCAAACTCATACTATTCTCCCTGTTCATATCTTCCGTGCTCTTCGACTTGCTCCTCCTATTACTGATATTATTGTTCAGGAGGTTGTGATGATGGGCCGCCCTCAAGTCCATTTCCCTCATGTCAATCTCCGAGTAATCCACCGATTTGGTATTAGTGAGCACGTGGTGGGTGTTTTCTCTCAGAGGCGGCCTCGTGGACGTCGCCGAGGTCTTCGTGTTCATCTGGAGCGTCCCTCCTGCTTGCGTCCCTTCGGTCTTCGTCGCTTCGGTCTGGGTTTGAGACTGGGTTTCCGTTTGTACGATTTGCGAGCTGTTTTGTGTTCCCACCGAAGCGGTCACGGTTTTTGGTCCTGTCGCGGTGTTGGATGTCATCGTGCTGGTCTCCTGCGACTGCTGCTGCACCCCTCGGTCGCGCATTTGACGGGTTTGACTGCCCTCTCTTTGAGTCCCTTTAGTACCTGAAATAATTTTGGCTCGAGGAGTGAGATTGGCAACAGTTTTGTTCCGAAATAAAACAATTTGAGCAATTTCTAACACAATTTTTCTCGATTTTACTACAGAAATCATTCTAAATAAAAGTATTTTATCAAAAAATTGCTAAAAATCCAATTTTATGCTAGAATGATGCAATTTGTGCTATTTCCAATCGATTTGGATAAATTTTTATCCGGATATCAGTCTAAGTCAAAGTATTTCAAGAAAATAATAGTTTAAATAAAAGTTTTCTTCTAAAATAAAGCAATTTGAGCTATTTTCAATCCAATTTTGCTCGATTTTAATACAAAATTAATTCTAAATTAATGTATTTTATAAGATTAATTTCTTCAAGCCCAATTTTAAGCTCTGAAATGAAGCAATTTGTGCCATTTCCAATCGATTTGGCTCAATTTTAAGCTTGAAAACGACCTAAATCGACGTATTTTAACAAACTAAATGTTTAAATAACAGTTTTCTTCCAAAATAAAGCAATTTGAGCTATTCCCAATCTAATTTTGCTCGATTTTATTACAGAAATCATTCTAAAACAATGTATTTTATTAAAATAATTGCTTAAAATCCAATTTTATGCCAAAATGAAGCAATTTGTGCTATTTCCAGTCGATTTGGATAAATTTTTAGCCGGATATCAACCTAAATCAAAGTATTTCAACAAAATAAAGCAATTTGAGCTATTTTCAATTCCATTTTGATGGATTTTAATACAAAATTTACTCTAAATTAATGTATTTTATAAAAATAATTTCTTCAAGCCCAATTTTAAGCTCTGAAATGAAATAGGTAATTTGTGCTATTTCCAATCAATTTGGCTTAATTTTCAGCTGAAAATTAATCTGAATCAAAATATTTCAACAAAATAATAGCTTAAATAAAAGTTTTCTTCCAAAAACCAATTTGATCCCATTTTCCTTAATATTAACACTGAAATCGTTCTAAATAAACTATAAGCAGACTTTTATTCCACGAAATTCAACTAATATATATTCTAAATAAATGTATTTTAAAAATAATTGCTTAAAATCCAATTTTAGGACAAAATGAAGCAATTTGTGCCATTTCCAATCGATTTGGCCCAATTTTAAGCCTGAAGACGACTTAAATCAACGTATTTTAACAAACTAAATGTTTAAATAACAGTTTTCTGCCAAAATAAAGCAATTTGAGCTATTTCCAATCTAATTTTGCTCGATTTTATTACAAAAATCATTCTAAATCAATGTATTTTATAAAAATAATTGCTTAAAATTCAATTTCATGCCAAAATGAAGCAATTTGTGCTATTTCCAAACGATTTGGATAAATTTTTAGCCGGATATCAACCTGAATCAAGGTATTTCAACAAAATAATGGTTTAAATAAAAAATTTCTTCCAAAATAAAGCAATTTGAGCTATTTTCAATCCCATTTTGATGGATTTTAATACAGAATTCATTCTAAATTAATGTATTTTATAAAAATAATTTCTTCAAGCCCAATTTTAAGCTCTGAAATGAAATAATTTGTGCTATTTCCAACCGATTTGGCTAAATTTTCAGCCGAAAATTAGTCTGAATCAAAATATTTCAACAAAATAATAGCTTAAATAAAAGTTTTCTTCCAAAATGAAGCAATTTGAGCTACTTCCAATCCAATTTTCCTTAA